ACATCTTGTGACATCACACAGTCTTTCTGTAAATAGTGGTGACTTCCCCCCTTGCCTCTTTCTTACAGTGAGAACCTGGCCCAGGTCATAGTGCGAGCTTAATGCTAAAAGCCTAAACATGTCAACTCCACCCTCAGTTCCATTCATTTCAGGTAGGTTTGAGTCTAGGTAAGTGGGCGTAAGAATGCAGGAGCACATTGCAGCACCTATTAAAGAAACAGTATCATGGCAGAGAGAGCAAATTCATCATGTTAGGCAATTAAATGTTTATGTTCCACCCCAGTGCCTATTTGGGCAGGCATTTGTAGCCTACGATGGTCTTGATATTTATTTTGCTATAACTTGAGCAGAAAAAGTCTGTTTATGTGAGTGCTCAGAAATGGGAAGTGCAACCCTTTTACTCTTTTAATGTAAAGAAGCTTTAAATGGACGGATTTCCTAGCTGCCTGCCCCTTCTGTCGCTCTTGGGAGAATGGATTCCCCCACCCGCTTCTCCCTCAGAGCAAGCAGGAGGGGTGGCAAAGCGCTTTCTCCTGTTCTTTCAAAACACTTTCTTGAACATGGAAAGGCAGCCTCATCTGTCTTCTGTGAACCTTTCTTGGCATCAGTGCAGGGGGAATTTTGTTTCTGCCTTTGCCCTCTGGCCTCTGTTCAGATGCAGTTCTGGCCCTTGGAGTGCCATCTCAGGGGAAGAATGCAACTGGGCCTGGAATTTTTGGACCAAACCATAAACAGGAAATATGGACACAGAGTCCACCAAACCTGACCAAATACTCCCCATGCAGTAGTTCTGTCCCAATATAATAGAAGTGGTGGAGGAGGACTTTCTACTTTTTAAAATAGTGTTTTAGAGGGGAAATGTGGGCATGGAGACTAAAAGCCAGGAATGCATGACTGGTCCAAATACCTACTTTTTTTCTTTTAAAACAAACAAAGGTAGCAGGCTGGTCTATGGGGTGGGGGCAGGGGCAACAGAAGTATTTAAAAACTGCAATTGGCCAATACTATCAAATTGCCGTGAAAGAGTATGCCAGTTTTTCAGTTCTCCAGCAATGAAGACAAGAATGGAACAACCAGAAAAGTACAAAGATTGGGCCAGATGTTGTGGTGAAGAGGTTTGTAGCTCAGCCTTAGTGATTATACACTGAATGAATTAGTTGCTGGTAGGTACTGCAAGCATCAGGTTTCATCTCCCATTCTGGACAGATTTTCTGGGCATGGGGAGGTCTGGCTGCAATTCAGAACTGTCCTTTTTGCCTTGGTTGAAACACCCAGGTTTCTGGGTAGGCAGAAAATAGAAGTAAAGGAAATCCAACAATCTTTACAAAGCTGGATAGTAATTTTAGGTGGTGCACTACAGAAAAAAGCAACAGAAGCCAAATTGTATACTATTACCTAATGGTTGGAGGGAATGGTACTTTTTCTGGTTTCTACACTCCCTGTTTTTTTGTACCTTCTAGGCTGAGGAGGAGTTCTAGAGAATTTGAAAGCTTGCACATTCTTGTGGCATTTTGGATGGTGCTAAAGGTATTGCACATGGTGCGTCTTGGATTTGTATCTGCGTAGCTGATGGATCTTGCTAGACACATTACAGTGCCCTTGGGAGGCCCTGAGAGCTCCTCTGACGGCCCAAGCGGCCCGATGGGGCCAGCCAAGCCCTTCCTCCTACCTGCATGTCAGTGCAAGGCTTCCTCCCGGTGCCACGCTGAACCTGGAAGACATTCAGGAAGCAGCAGCAGCCCACCCGGCTGCTTCCTAAGCCTCTTGTTGTGACATTGGAGGAGAATTCCTGCCCTTTTCCCGGCTCTGACGCAGGGTCGGAGCTCTTGCCGGAATGAAAATTGTAGCCTCCCGTAGCTACTTGGGTTTAGCTTTCCTTTTACAGGACACGAGGTCTACCCCTGTTGGGCTAGCTGCTCTTCACTTCCATGCTCGCTCACATCGCTTGCTCGCTCTCTGATCAAAACAGCCAACGAAAGGGAGAGCTTAAAGCAGGAGCGCAGAACCTCCGGCTCACTGCGCTTCCACGCCTACCCTCTGGAGATTCCCACAAGCCCCTGCTCCCTGCCCCCCAGCCACTGCTCAGTGGTGATCTCCTGATGTTAGCATGTCCCCTCCCACCGCATTTCAGAAGGTCGAAATGCCTCTGCCAAGGCTCTGTTGCTAGCAGTAAGAGATTCAAGCTAAAATAAGCTGGTTTGAGAACCAGCTGGTGTAGTGGTTAGAGTACAGGACGGAGACTTGAGAGATCTGGGTTCTAGTCCCCACCAGAGTTAGGCTGAGGTGGCTCCAGGCCAGTCACTGACTCTCAGCCTAACTCATGTTGCAGGGTGGTTGTTGTGGGGATAAAAGCAGGCTAGAAGAAAGCTATGTGCACTGTCTTGGGTTGCTCACAAAAGGAAAAAAGGCAAGGTATAAATGCGATGTAAATAATACTGTTCAGCATTCTGGCCACATCCAGAGTGTGGCCCACCCCTGCTGGAATGCAGCAGCACAAGCCCCCTCCAAATTGTGAATTCAGCCCATGGATCGAAAGGGGCCCACCATCTTTGGTGTAAGCCAGCAGAGGCGGCTTCTGCAGCAACTCCCCTTGGCCCTGCTTGCAGGCCCCGCAAAGGCTGCTGAAGAGGCAGCGATTCCAAGGCACAGCGGCTGAGCCAGGCACTTCCGGGGGCCTCCGCGCAGGTGCCCAGCAGCAGCAGCCGCAGCCGCTGCCTCTGGCATGGTGGGCCGTGCAGCACCCACGGAGAAGAGCTCGCCTACATTGGCATATGGACGTTTTCACCCCAGCCGTGGCCAGAGCAGTAGGTGCTTGTGGTATTTGTGCAATCCTACTCCCAATTATTGTGGCAAGCATATGAACAGGATAAAGATGGAGAGTGTGACAGTGCCTGGATTGCTAAACATTTGATTTCTAAACAGTCCAGGCAGCCACAGTGGCATGTGCGCTGGTTTCCATGTGCTCACCACTTCCACTTTTGTTCTGCATCGCCATATAATCCAGAATGGCCCATCCCTGCGTGTGCGCATGCTCTCCAAACCCAACATTCTGGGCCGAGGGAGAAAGACTTTGACCCAACCATCACCCATTGTTTTGCAATCCAGAAAGGAGGCAGTGTCTTCACTCCGGCACAACCACAACTGTGGGTTATTTAAAGCACAGTTAGTTATGCACGCATGAAGTCTGAGTGGTCCTTGTGATAAATGGCAAAACTGGGCAGGACCATTTCTAACAGCCAGTTTCTAGCTCTCAGAGGGGCTTCCTCTTCCAGAAGGAATTCAGTCCTTCACTTTTAGTTTAGAGATGAAGCACTAGAACAGGCTCAGACAAACTGTAGCATGTCAGACCTTGTTTTTTTGTTCTAATTGGAAATGTTGGAACCACCAACGTGAGCCAGAGATGGATGATCAGTTTCTCCCCTGACCCTTCCTACCATCCTTCATCAGAGCAGTCAAATGTAAGAGGAGAAAGATTTAAAAAGCTGCTTAGGGGTGTGTGTGTTTGTGTGACATCATTGGTACTTAGAAACACTTGAATTTTTTTTTGCCCAGAACACATGATCTAGAGGCAGGTTTCAAACACTTGCTTCCAGGCCAGCTGGAGAGTCAATTAGTGATGTCAGACTTTGTCTTCCTTTGTCAAATTTAATTCAGGGAAAGTGGAAAGATGTGGAGCAGTGGTAGCTGTTACCATCATCCACAACCTGGCAGCTGCCAGATGTGGCTGCAGGTTGCTGAGACTTGCAGGTCAACACATCTGGAAGGCACCAGCTTAAGGAAGGTTGCACTGCAGTCTTGAGTTGGAAGAGGAGACTATTCAAAAGCTTCACAGTTATTGCCTTGATCCTGCTGCTCGTAACCCCAAAAAAGCTCCTGAATGGGAGGCCATGCATGCCTTGCGGGTGAGAGTACCATTCAGCTGTCAGTGGTGGCTATGGAAGGCAACACCACAAGGCTTCTTCTACTTGCAGCTGTGAAGGTTGGTGCCAACATATACCTGCCTTCCGCAGAGTCTGCCCTGAGCAGAGCAGCTTACAGAGCCAATAGTTTCAAATGACCCACGTGAACCATCCACTGGCTGTCAGGGAAGGAGAAACGCCTTTGTTGTTCCATCCCTTTGAGGCTTTGAAAAGTAGTGCATTAGTACTGTTGTTGGGAGAGTTTTGCAGCCTCCCTGACATGTACTTTCCTCTCCCTTTAATACTGAACACAAAATATCTTAGCAAAGACTGGAACGACTTTTGTCAGTGGAAGACAAAACAGTTTCCTTTCCCTGATTAATAAAAATGAATGTTGAGCTGGTTTTGTTTCTAGGCACAGGAGATACACACTTCTTCCTCAAACACAGATGGCAGTAGAATGTTCAGTATTAGAAGATTTTTCGCATGAAAAGTTGTGTTCCAAGCTTGGTTAACCAACTATTTGCAATAGCAGCAGTCCCTTCTATATTAGAAGCAGGGGCCGAACTAGCTGCTTTTTCAGCTGGCATCGTGCAAGCCAGTCTTCTGGTCAGTGGGGCAGGTAACTCATGGCCCTCCAGCTTTGTCCCCCAGCTCCCCTTCTCTTTGCCCTTGGCTACAGCTGACAGGTGCTGTAAACCAAAACAGCTGGAGGGCTGCACAGGTCTGTCTTGTGTCTCCAGGGCCCTTAGTTTCAGGAGGGTGAGGCATTGCTTAGTGAAACAGCCCTTCGCTCAATGTACAGCCAGAACTGGACTGTGCTAGTGTAGAGAGAGACCTTGTGTTTATATCTTGCAATTACATAAGAGAAAGGAGACACAGCCATGGTGCAATGTAAGCAGAAGGACAGCTATATTGTACACCAAACTGTACACAGGGATGCTATTTGTAGGGAGCTGCCTTAAGCCTTCTAAGTGGAAGTGCCACTGCCAAAGGCAGAGAAGCCATCCTAAAACCCAAAGACACCTGCCTCCGCAACCCACACACCAACTTGCAATCCTCCCACTCTGCAGGAAACCTGCTAAGAGATGAGCAAACAACTTGGACACTTTCTCTTTATGAAATATATGTGTTTGTGTTCATTACAATAAATACAACTTCAAGTTATAAAAAAGTAGTGGGTTAACTTAAGACAGGTTGTCGAGCAGGACATTTGGCCCCATCAGAGCCTAAAGAAGGCAAGTTAGTTCATATTGCACTGGAAACCCCGGCATATGCGTCAGTGTAATGGAAGCTGGAGAAAGTGGCCGGCACTCAGTGCCACAGCCGCAGCTTTGCTAGCTTATGAGGTAGACCGAGGGCCATCAAGTTTCAACATTGTAGCTACAGTATCCTCCTCCTGGAGGTGCAATAGTGGACTTCAAAAATACTAGAAGGAAAGCTTACTGCTTCTTCATCCCTCCAACCCCCCCCCCCGCACTGTTAAAAAGTAGCAGGAACCCTGCTTAGCTTGGACTTCTTAAAATCGTAATTAGCAGGACAACCCTAGGCATAACCGCTCAGAAGTGGGTCCCATTCAATTCAATGGGGCCTACTCCAAGGTAACACTTAGGAGTAGAGTGCTCTTCCAACCAGTTTTACATCCCTAGCAGAGCTGGTGGTGTGGCAGCGCCTCGTTCCAGTCTGCATGCAAAATAATGGGTCTGCTGCCAGTCAGATGCCATTCATGAGCAGGCATGCAACCAATGCCCTGCCACCCCTCCCAACTACTCCACCTACTGGCTTTATTAATCTGAGTTCAGGTGCATTAAAATGGCTGCATCTGTTGTGTACAGTCCTGTCCTTGGTTAAAAAAAGAGTCTTCCAGAGCCCCTGGCTGGCCAGGCCACATTCACTCCTTTGCAAAGGGTTCCTCAGCATGGCACAGGCAGGGCAGCACAGAGATCAGAGCCTCCTCGATGGAGAACAAGTGTTCATCCTCTACATGAGGGCAGCAGAACCGCATGAAGTCCGCCAGCCGTAGCAGGTACTCTATGTTGTGGCCTGAACACCCGCTGGAGACTAGGATTTGCGCCGCTATTTCCTCTTCAGATGCTGGGCCGAGGTAGGAGGGATTCTGGGGGGTTGCAATGTAAACCAGGGCCAGGATAGGCTCATCAGTCTCTTCTTCCTGTGGGTAGAACTTCACCAGCTTGGTGTCGTAGCCTCCAAGCACTGCTTCCCGCATGTTCAAGTACTTGAGCGAAGCAGCAACCTGATCTCCATGGAGTTCATAGGCGACACCCCATGTGCATCCCTAGGACAAAGAAATAGATGGGTTACTTACTCAGACAGAAGCAAAAATAGATCTACATTATTACATCCTGGAAACAGATAGGATGGCTTTTTGTATGTCAAACTGTTAAGCTAGGGCAAAAGAAATACTAGGGGTGAAGAAGTTTACCATCCCTATACTCATGGAGAAAAGTCCTGTTACACCACAAAATCAGGGGGTAGGTTGATTTTTCTAGCCAATTCAGCTACTGTTTCTCTACTTGCATCCAGGAAAAAAAAATCACACATGCAGGAAAGTGAGTGACCTTTATTTTGTCACAAAGACCACAGACAAGTATCTCTGAAATCTTCTGATCATCCAAGGTACACCTCTAGCAAGTCACATTTCTCAGACTCAGACTTAACACACTGCATTTTTCACCATACATTGCCCATTTTTCTGTGCATTTTGACAGCACATGTAAGGAAAGTAATGACAAAGGTTACCCAGAAAGCAGTCACCACAATCCTTACAAAATAGAGCTTCTCAGACAGAAGTAAGTTCAAAAGTTCTTATCTCCTGTTTTTATATGCAATATGGCTTGTTGCCATGGCCCATCTAATATTAAAGTGCTTCTAAAGTGGCTGGAGAAACTGAAGACCAACTAGATGATTAGAAACTAAAATTTTTAAATGCTGGTAATTCCTTCTCCATTTTAGCTTCTCTCCTGTCAACCAAGCAATTCCTGCAGACAGGTTTTACAGAAATTCCTGACAATCTGAGGCATTGATTCAAAGACATACCAGATCTTTTTCTGCAGTGATATTCCTGTTGGATGATAGCTCTGTAATTGACACCTCAGTTTTATCTCATCATGTCACATTATAACCATGAAAATGGATTGGATGTTTACTGTGTAAACAGTATTACACTGTTCCAAATGCAGAATTATTTAAATGAATGAGTATCCCATAGCCCATATGACCAATAAATTCTAAGCTGAGAGAAGAAACTTGCCAAAATAATACAATCAACCCCTCCTTCCTTCTGCACAGGGGAACTAAAGGGGTAGAAGGAGAAAACGGTAGCAAAGAGCTCTTTGAGAATTACTCAAATTTATCCTCAGTCCACCCCAAGGGGGTTAACCCTAGACTAAGCCTTGCTATCTAGGTGCACAGGCTAACTGGATAAGGATGCAGGGGGCACTCAGTACTTACATCATAATCTTCTAGGAGGGTGACCACTCTTCCAGGCTAAATAGGAATGGGAGAGGAGAGGAGAGGAGAGGAGAGATCAGTTTTAATGCACTGGTATCTAGTATCCATGCAGCAAGCCCCACCACCCCAAGGTGTATCGATCGATGCAGCTGAAAAGCCCCAAATAACATTGCAAACTAATGGGGACGGCACTGGCAGCAGTCTCAGCAGACGTTGCAGAGGTCACCCTTCCCCAACAGATATGCGGGAATGTAACTCCCACAATCCCCAGTCAGCATGGCCTAAGGGCAGTGGGAACTGTAGTCCCACGCCTGGAGGGCAGCCTGCTGCGGAAGGCTGGCACGGACAATGCTGAGCCAAGGGCGAAGGGAGCGCCTGCGCTTGGGAGGGGCTCGAGATGCAGTCCTGTTCGAACGGCGGGCAGCCCAGGCCCCCGGCTCTCCTGCTTCGGCTCCTCGGGGACGTTCCTCAGAGCCACATCCAAAACGGGCCCGTCATCGGGGCCTCGAAAGCCATCCTCCCCGAGGGCCGGGATGAAAGGGAGGGAAACCATCGCCCCAGCCCTTTGCTCAGCCTCGGTCCTCCTTCCCGCAACCCAACGGAGGCGGCCGCCCGCTCCTCTTACCATCTTTTCGCTGCCCCGGTGGAAGGTGTCTCCTTGCCAGAAGCGGCGGGTGTAGCCCCGGATATAGCCCACCTTGCGGGAGGTGAACTCGAAATCGGGTCTCCACACCAGCGAGCCGTAGCCGAAGACCCAGAGCGGGGATTTCGGCGGTCCATCTTCGGCAGCAGCGCACTCCTTCTCCGGCAGCGCCTCGATTTGCCGCCCAGGGGGATGCTTCCCTCCGCTGGAAGGATGCTGCGGTTGCGGATCCCTTTTCATGACTTGGCAGGAGGAGTCCGGTAAGCAGCCGGGGAACGTGCAGCTGCACCGCTGGATCAGAGCTCTGGGTTTGGGCTGGTCTGGGTGGAGGCGAGGCTTGGCCGGTGGTGGCTGGACGGCGATAAGGACCAAAGCAGTCACCCCCTGTACCCACAAAATTTTTACTGCACCGCTCTACCTCGGCCAGTCCTTTAAATAGCAGCGTGCCGGGAAACACCGCCCCGTTGTCACTGAGTTATCCTGCCTCGCGCCGGCTATCTTCCAATCAGCTCAAGGCATCCGCGGATTGTCCCGCCTCACGGGCTGGACTCGGGATCTGGATTGGTCAGAGCGGTCCTGGAGATGTGAGCGGACCGCGCTCGCTAATTGGTTGTCTTGCTGCCTGGTGTAAGAAGCCGGGATGATGCAACCTGCCTAGGTACTTTCGAGTAAAGAAGGCAGGTGATTGCATCAGGCTCCGCTTGCTTAGGGTGGCAGAGAGAGAATCGAGGTCAGTAGGAAGAAGCATGCTTCATTAGGCTGGCCAGGCGCAAATCTCGCATCTGCTACAAATAGCATGCAGATGTGATGCTGTGCACTAGCTTATGTAAAGTGGTGTGATGATTTTTCCATAAATAACCAAGACTCTTTTGCAAATTCTCATTTCTCTTCTACTGGAGGTTGGGCATCATCATGGCGTATTGTATGGTGTGTTTCATACTGATGTAAAACACACAGACAGCTTTGGCTATTGGGCAGTAGAGGAAAGAAAGATAACTTAATGATAATGGCTAAGCAGTCTTTAGATGTGGCTGCTCTTAGCAATGGTGATGTACTGTCTTAAAGATCAGGAAAATGATGGTGGTATGTGCCACTGAAAGTTTATGCCCTAGCTAATTTGTCAGGCTTTGAGGCACCACAAATCTCTTAGTTCTTTTGTTTTCAATAAACTAACAACAGACTACTGGAAATTGATCTCTCCATAATAGTGACTCCTCCCCTTGAAGGAAGGTACCATGAAAGCACAAAGACACCACTGAAGAGGGGACAATATTACATGCAAGTGTTCATTCTAAAGATCAAAATAGAAACCTGCAAAATAGGAATATCTAAAGAGACAGCCTCTCTCCACCAGTAATAAGCATCTTGCCCAGCCTTCTACAGGGCAAGATGGAAGCACCCATTACCAGTGGACTGGAACAGGGCATTGCTCTTTAGGTTGGTTTCCCTTGTTTCAGGAGCCCGTTCCTTTCCCTGCTTGCAAGGCCTGCTCAGTGCAACACCCAGTTCATCGCCTCTTGCTAACACACTCGAGCACGAGCATTCTCTCTCTCTCTCTCTCTCTCTCTCTCTCTCTCTCTCTCTCTCTCTCTCTCTCTCTCTCTCTCTCTCTCTCTCTCTCTCTGGGTAGTGACTGTGGCCTGGGATAACAGGTGAGTAGAGGCAGCAGCTGCTTCTCTGTCCTTCTCAGCTGCCATCCACTGTAGCCACTTTGCTGCTGGGCTGCAGAGAGAGAGAGAGAGAGAGAGAGAGAGAGAGAGAGAGCGAGCACGCAAGTGAGTAAGGAAGAGCTGCTGATCTTTACAGAAGCTCCTCCACCCCTTTCTGTTTGACACAGTATTGAACCTGTGGGGCTACGCAAAGAAAATGTGGTAGAGAAAGGCAAGGCCTTTGCAGGAGCAGCTGCCACTTGTGCCCACCTGCCCACGCTTGTTTTCTCTAGGTAGCACAGCATGGGGCACTGGGCCCACTGTGCAGGGTACCGAGAAGGATGGGGACCACCAAGGGCATGTTGCTGAGCCCCACTCCCTACATGCAGCCAGTCCTGCATTTGGATACACCAATGTGGCATCAGCCCCACTTTTCACCCAAGAGTAGGCTGTTGCTATGGGCAATGGCTGTGCCTGTCATTGTGCCAGGTTCTGTGCATAGTGGGATGCAGAGCCCTGCCTATAGCTTGTGATTAGGTGGGGGATGGGGGAAATTACACTGAATGACTAGGAGGTTGAAAGATGCCTTTAGGGTGCAATGCTAGGCCTGTTTTAGCAGGAAAAAAGGCCTACAACTCCCAGCATGCCCCTGTGTTTGTGCAGGGCTCCTTCAGCTGGGCAGCCATGCTGCTTGGTACAGGCTAAGAGTTGTAGGCCTTTCTTCCGTTTAAACACTCCTGGGATTGTTCCTTTGGGGCACCATCTTACCACCATGGCAGCTACAGGTAAGCCTCGGAATAGGAGCTTGCAAACATTCAGACACAGGAGTAAGGGGCAGTGGTGACAATCAGCACTGCATCTGATGGCCTGAATTTCTCTAGGTGGCCATTTCTGGTTATCTAGGTGTAGCACCAGGGAGGGGGAAGGAAGGAGGCTGGGGTGCTGACTGGAATTGGCAGAAGCCCACAACTCCAGGCTCCTCCTGTCCCCACCCGTTTCCCCGCTCCTAGGCGCAGAGGCAACCTCAGGAGGATTAGCCAGCATTATTCTTTCCTTGCCAGCTGTGGGGGGTGGTCAGGGTTCAAAGTCCAAATCCAAGGTGGTCCCAGGATCTCAGAGCTGGGACTTAGAAGAATCTTATCCCCTCCGGGGCAGCATCCAGAGACTGTAAGGTGTACCCTTAGTCACTAAGCTGATGAAAAGTAGTTCACTCTTCAGTTCTGCAATGCATGCTAGAAGCATGGATGACCCATGTCGTGTGAGAAGATGACCAAGAGCCTATTGGCATCTTAAAGACTAACACCCACCATAGTGAACGCGCGATCCTTCCAGTAGCCATGCACAACTAAGCTAAGCACACTGCTGCCTCACAGCCCCTCCTGAAATTTAAGCACCAGCTCAGCTTCACAGGTGAAGTTGCTCTGAGAAAGCTGTAACTGTCTTGAAAGAAAGGGGGAAGATAGTGGTGTGGAGTTAAGCAAAAGGAGAGGGGAGGACCCTCCTCTCTCTGATCCCAAGGAGTTGGCCAGAAGCAAAATCATTCAAAAGAACCCTGCACGTGTTTATAGAGAGAAAGGGCCAACAGTGACCAGAAGGCCAAAGCCAGCATGGAATGCTAGAAGCTGTAGGTCCTTTTTCTGGCTGAACTTGCACAGGATTGCACCCCTAATCACCTAAGGAGCTCACACAAGACGTGTATCCCAGCACATATAAAGGGCCTATGTCATCATGGGTGTAGTTCTAGGCTTTCCAACAAATTAGATAGCAAGAGGAAATACGATGTGAAAGGAGTAGGCAGAAGTGGAATTACTCACCAGACTTTGCTAAGCCTACATCAACAAAGCCTAAGACTTCTGCATTAAGTGGTATTACAAGTTCCCAGTTCCAGCAGCCCCAGGAAGAGAGACTCAGAATTGGCACATCTCTGTCACATTGTGGAGAGCATTTCTGCAAGCATCTTGCAGTTTATGTGCTTTTTTGCAAGACTTTTATGTAGATATTTTAAATGATTCAGAGTCCTTCTTAACAAATGCACTCTGCTTGAATCATTCTTAAAATGTGCCATTTTTTTTAAAGGCACAAGTAATTAAAATGTTTCTGTAACTATTTGATCTAAGAATTGTTTAACTGAAATTAAACAGACAGGTTTGGAAATGACACTGCTAAATCTGAATGAATTTAGAAATTGTCAGCCTGCATTCAGCTCCCTTGCTCAGTCATGAAACTTACTGGGTGGCCTCAGAGAAATTGCTATCTCTGTGTTTAACCTACCACACAGTGGATGTGGTGAGGATAAAAGCAGACTCATTCATTTAAAGCTAACTGGGAGATAAAATTGATATGGAGGGCAAAACACTTAAGGGCAGGGCTCTGCCTCTCATGGCCTCTTCCCCAGATATGCTCCTGTCTTGGAATTTAGCATAGTGACAGCTGGTATAGCCAGCATCTCAACATGGTATACAGCTTTGGGCAAACAGAAAAAGGCTGAGTGAATTGTTTTGGCTTATGGCTTGCAGGGCCAGCACCAGAGGTTGGCACCACCGTGTTCCCACAGAAGTCCATATCCCAGCTGAGGACCCACAGCCAAGACTTGGAACCTCTTGGGTTTTGCTGCTGTTCCTGCTACTGCTGCTAATTACTTGCCTTCTTCAAGGGATCAAGCAGTGAGAGAAATAAGGAGAAGTAAGTAACTTCTTTTCTCAGTTGTGTCAAAGGTTCTTCTCCTCCTCACCCACATTAGTGCTTCTGATTCTAAATCACTTTATATACAAAATATTTTCCTTAAGAACAGGAAGATGGGTGGAGCCAATAGTTATCCCAGGAGTAATACAGTGATAACAGCCTAAAGCTAATACATGCAACAGCAGAAGCTTGGCAAAAAACTGAATTATTTATCATGACAGAAGTATAAATGGAAAGTGAGTTAATCTTGTTTCTGCTGGTATTGCCATTGTCAAAATTTGGATAAACTTCCAGAAGAGGCTTTCATCGTGCTATGGTCCTGCGTCATTTGCAGATTTTTACAGTGGGTCTAATTGCCATTGTTTTCCATTCACAGCCCTTCTATATTTCTAGCACACCTGTCTTTTTTTATAGTGCAGAAAATCCATAAAGGTAAAAAACACTACAAAAGCCCTCTGTCTGGAAACATTCTGGGGTGTCCTACAGGAAACTAGTACAACATTTGAGGTTGCTATGACAAAGAAACACTATTCTAGATTTCCTGTTTTCATTGCTCTTTCAGATTGCACTCGTACACGTATTTATCTAGAAATACTTCCTATTGAACTCACTGGAACTTATTTCTGAATAGACCTGCTACAAATCTTTTCTACATGAGAGCCAGTGTGGTGTAGTGGTTAAGAGCATGGGACTGGGACTCAGACGACCTGGGTTCTAGTCCCCGCTCAGCCATGGAGCCAACTGGGTGACTTTGGGCCAGGCACAGACTCTCAGCCCAACCTACCTCACACGGTTGTTGTTGTGGGGATCAGATGGAGGAGGAGAATGATGTAAGCTGCCTTGAGTCCTTTGTAGGAAAAAGGCAGGATAGAAATCGAAAAATAAATAAATAAATATAAAATAAATAAA